ATTATGATAGATGTGTAATGGGAAATAAATATGTGAATTGTATAATCTTTTGTTGAACACATAAATTATTCCTTCAGAAAAATAAAACAATTTGACTCAAATTGGACCGCAAGAATATGCAAGCACTAGGCAAGCTGTAATTAATTTTTCTTTAGGTGACTAAGAAATGTGTATCTATTTGCCTACGCTTTTTTGCTTAAATATAAATCTAAGGAAGCAAGCATTATTAGCATATCTTAAAATAGTAACTTTTTTATAGAGGTGATTGTAAGATAAAACTGTAGTTCTATTTATACTATCTTCCCTAATCAAATATTTCAGTGGAATTACTTTAGGCTATCGGAATTTTTTTTAGCTATTATACAATTCATGAAATTGGTATTTATTTTTAATGTTGTTTACTAAATTTAAAGCAGACATGCAGCAGATTGCTAAGAGTTTAAGGGAGAAGAAAAATGTCTGATTTTGCAGTGCTGAGAACAGGCAAGCTTTAGTTTTCTAGTATAGATACAATTTGTATTGGTCTGAATTATCTTGCTGATTGAGTTGAAAGTAATGGTGGGAGGCAAGGAATAGGGATAGGATTGTTCACTGAAATCCACTTAAACTTCCAGATAAGTTGTTTAGTTGCCTTTTTTCATTCCTCTCACTTCTATTGTTCCCGTGTTATCTCTTTTAGTGGATAGGGTTTAGTATTAGAGTGTGAAGATAGTGAGACATATTAAGTAGCCAGTTAATTCTTCACTCTGATGTAATTGAAGACAGTCAGTTTATTCATAACTAAGGTAATGATTTTTGAACATGTAAATAGTTTGGTAATCTTGTACTCCTTGAAAAATTGCCAAGGAATAGTGCTGCCCCCACTTAAATACTTTTTCCATTGTCCAGTTTGCTATGAACCCATGGTTGCCTGCAATCTCTTGCTAACATGGGAATGTCAAATAGTTGTGTAAGTTATAGTCCAAAATCCCTGGAAGGAAATGTTGCTGAATCATGTATATTCATTCATTAATCAATAGGGAGGAGCATAATGGGTCATGTTTTTACTTTTATGGGAAGAATTTCTTATCACTTTTTTCATAAATCACATACTTGCTAAACAAAGGTAATTTCTTCAGTTTTCCTCCATTCTTAACTCCTAGGGACTTAATTCATGTAGATTTCTTAGCAGCAATATGGTTTATTCCCCACTCCATCCTTTTCATATGAGCTTTAATATTGTTAAGTTTGTTGGAGAGATAACTTATGCAGTGAATTTCTTTCTCACTTTCTTGTTTATCCCAATTTGAAGGAATTCTTTTCCCTGTCCCCATTGAGGAGTAATAACTGAAACACAGGGAATTAAGAATGGAAAGAATGCTGCTTTTACTATAAATAATGGGATGAAATTCCATGAGCCTATTAAACTCTGTATTACTTTGAGCAAAATACTTTTAAACTTCTAAATAACCATGCTGCTCCTTTTATCCCAATCCTGTGTTTGCAATTTGCACATACCTCATAAATAAGCCAAGTGATAAACATCTGAATATGGCCAGTGTGATATGTCCCTTGAATACTGGATATTTTGCTTGTATTTTGTAAATAAGCTCAATCCTTGTGGGGGAGAGGGGGACATGTAGCTTCTGAAATAAGATCTCTTAAAATCTTTCTACATTTATTTTGACCTTTGCCTCAGTCATGGTATAAAACATGACCAAGTAAAACACAGTTCAATTTTTTCCTGTTGTCTCTCACACAAAGAGACTTGAAAATAATAGAAGTTACTTATGGTGAGGGCCTGTGCAGATATAAGGTCATCTCTTTCCTGTTCTTCCCTGTTTCCTTTTTACCCAAAAAGTCTTCAGGGGCTTCAGAATGGAGGAAGAGATGCACTTGTTTGTATGGTGCTATATTGAATTGGGCCTTCACTCAAGCAATCTCTGTTTATAGTGCTATCAGAGAATTTTGGATAGAAGATCTAGTTTATATTATAACTAAATTTTCTACTGATTTCCCTTCTTATAAAGTAATTGATTCAAACATGTTCTTGTGACATCTTGATAATGGAATATTCTTTCCCATGGGGGTATGGATTGGTGTTGATGTTATTTATTTATTTATTTTGCTTGTGTTAGATACTTTTTGGTGCAAGATCAAAACTTACTTTTTGTCCAGTCAATGTAATGTTTAAAAGTTTAAATTGGTTTAATAACCTGTGTGTATTTTGTACAATGATTGCTTTTTATTTTGCATAGGTACAGGTAGTCCTCAACTTACGACCACAATAGAGAATGGAAAATTTGTTGTTAAGTGGTGTGTTCATTACGTGAGGCATCATGTGACCACACCCAATTTTATGACATTTTTGGTAGCAGTTGTTAAGCAAATCACCATGGTTAAGTGAAACACATGGTTGTTAAACAAATCATATGGTCATTAAGTGAATCACGCAGTTCCCCATTGATTTTGCTTGTTGGAAGCCACTGGGAAGGTTGCAAATGGCAATCATGTGACCCCAGTATGCTGCAACTGACATGAATGCATGCTGGCTGCCAAGTGCCCAAATTTTGATCATGTGACCGGAGGGATGCTGCAACAGATGTAAATCACTTTCTTCAGTGCCATCATAACTTCAGATGGTCACTAAACGAATGGTCATAAGTCGAGGACTACCTATACTGCTTTATTTGGTTTATTCTGGTTACATTTTGTTTCCACTCTTATATCTTTAGAATTCATATACAGGTAGCCCCTGGGTTAAGAACGCCTGGTTTAAGGATGACCCATAGTTAAAAACGGAGCCTATTGTAGCAAAATTTGAGTTAAATACACAAAGATTTGAGTTAAATACACAATGGTTCAAGTTAATTGCACAGTACTGTTCTAGCTTACATACAAATTCGACTTAAGGACAGACCTTGGGAATGGAACTTTTTCAAATCATACCATATGCAAAGTATGATAAGCCAAGTGTAAATCAAACTGTGGTTAATTTTAGGGATTACATAATGTATGAAGGATCTCAATTTAAAATAGGTTAGAGTTCTGGGTATCTTTCAGACCTCTCAGCACTTCTCATTTTCGTGCCTCTAGGCATGTTGAATATCAGTTCCTAAAACACCTAATTGCTCTGTACCATTTTGGCTAGGAGTTCGAGGAACTGTAGTCCAACACTTTGGAGGCAAGAGAATTGGAACATTACTTTAGTTACTTATTCAGGTAGGTCATGTATAATAAATTACCCACTGCTGCTGTGGTGCAACTTGGGTGAAATCCAAGATTGCCTCCTTCCTCATGGAGCCTTTGGTATTCTCACTGCATCAGCTCTGGAGTGTTAGGGGTTTTCTAGAACATATTTTGCAGGCTTGTTGGAGAGAGGAGGGGGAGGAAAGGACAGCAGTGTGATTAGGAGTTCATTTGTGCAATGCAGACTATTGCCTTTTATTTTTAAAATAAAAATGAAAAAATAAATGGAAGAGGACAGATTTCATTCATAATGGATACCCTTATCCCTAACCAGAGAAACATTTCTTGAGCCTGAAATATTGTTTAAAAAATAGTGATAATGCATAGCCTCGATTTCCAATTTATTGAATATTGATAATACTATCAGTTTAAGAGCTTTTGTTTAAAGAATCATTTGTGTTTTGTTATCTTGTCTGATATGCAGTATTCCATACAACTGATAAATATATTGCATTTACATATGAAGTACTGTAAAAAAGTAAAGCCTTTTTTTCTGGAACTTACTAATATAAAACTATATGCAGTGACTTGACGGAAATGTTATGTACTTGCAAGGTGTTCTCTTACATTGTGGGGGGAAAGGTGCATAAACTCTTTTAGAAGCATTTAATACGTCTGTCAGAGGCTAGGGTAGTGAGAGTAGATCTGATGCCTTGAATGAGAAATGCTGCTTGCTTTGAATAATAATATAATACAAAATGAAAGCATAGCTTAAAACAAGAAAGGTTCAAAACCCATTAGGCTTTCAGATGGCTTTCAAACTATGGAGTATATCTGAACACTTTTTTTTTTTTTTTTTTTACCAGACTCCACATTTATTTTTTTGACTGGGATCTAAGCACTGTTTCTCTGTATTTATCTCATAAAGTGTTCCTAGCAATGATCACATATATTAAAGCTTAACTTAAAGAAGTCCCCTAGTTTATTTCAGCAGTGGAGTAGCTCTGATTTCCAGTGTTGATGTTGATTTATATTATAATTGATAGATTCATTGATGTTTTGAAGATTGTGTGTTATAAAGGCTATTTAAGAGGAAAGCAGTCTGCACCAATCTTTTTTCCCCTTTTCTTTCATCTTCTAAAACCCAGAGAGTAAAGGGCATTACATAATGATGGAATTGCCCAAAACTGATCAAGAAGAACTTGAAGAAATCCCATACTTTGCTAGATTTAGAGCAGTTTCTTCATCCCACTCCTCATATACAAACACATACTACTGAAATCACAGTGTGCCCCATATTGTTCAGTCCTCCTTAACTGTCTGGAGAAAGTTTGGGGATAGTACAGTGGGTTAGAGAAGAAAAAGGAGGAAGAAAAAGATTGCTTGCATGAGCTGCCTTCCCCCAGTGAGCTATTTTCAAGTCATGTAACTGTTGATTACAATCCAAAATTGTATACCGTTTATAAGCATATTTGTTTAAAGGTTTTTGGTAGTACTTCTAATTTCTACTACAAATAAAGCATTCTTCTAGAGGAAATACCTCCCCCTATTTAATTTAAATACCTCATAGATATATTATTTCAGATAATAGCCAGGGATTGATAAGGTAGCTTAAAAAAGGTATAAAGATGGACCCCATGTCTTGGAATGTTTACTACTATGAAGTAAATTAAAATAATTCCTTTGAAATAAAACTCTGCATTTGTTACTTGATTAATTTCTATGGAAAGTTCTGATGATCAACAGTGTAACTAATTTTTTTTTCCCCTATGAGTTCAGTTGTATAGTTCAACTCGAGAATTTTACAGTGTTGCTTTTTTTTTTGGTTGAAGTAGTACAAAATGTCAAAAATTAGAAGGAAGGTCACAGTGGAAAATACCAAGACCATATCTGATAGCACATCGAGAAGACCCAGTGTATTTGAAAGACTTGGACCCAGCACTGGAAGTTCTGCAGAGGTGAGTCGAAAAGTATTCTTTGTTCTTAATGTAACACTCTCATAAGCCAGAGATGATGGCAGGGAATGCTTTTCTCTTCTCTTACCATTGGAGTAAGTCACCTCATTGGTTTTGTGGGAATTGGATAAACCTATGAAGGCTTTCTTATCTTAGACTGATACATTATAAAGTATTGCACTCTTTCAAATGGGATGAGATGAGGGGGAACATGTCTGTCCAGTGCTTGTTCCTGATTGAATAAATGTTTGTGTTCATGATGTAAACATATTAGACTTGGAAAAGAAATCCCCCTCCTGAGGAAGTGACTCTCTTAGATTATTTCTGTTGTTGTTTTGCCCCTGTGTAATGTGGCTTATTTTAATATCTGAAGCCATTAGGATAACTTTCTTTGATGCAGTGCACCATGTTTAACTCTGCTGATGGCTAATCATTCAGACTGGTTTGGAGTGCTGAATTTGGATAAGATGTAACTGTTTCCAACTTTGATTCTCTATAAACATTTAGGACCAAATCCACCCATATTCTACAGAATGTGTGTGGATGGACGAATTATTTAGCTAGATGTTAGGAAAGGACAGGACAAATTCCAACATTTGTTTGCATGAATCACATTTTGGTGATACATGTCTTGCACATAGTCATAAAAATATATTTTAGTTGTTGGTGAGAAGAGAAGAGACCTTAGTTCATACCAACATACTTTGAAATGTCTTCTGTTATCCAACAGCTGGTGGTGAACACCGTCAGATTTTGCACTAAATTGTAGTTAGATTAGAATAATATGTGGAATTATTTGTTCTGTGACTTTTGACACAAGCAGTATTCCAACATTAGTTTGAAATTCACCCAGTAATGTCTGTCTCTTAGACACAGTGCCGTAACTGGTTGAAGACTGGCAACTGCCTCTATGGGAACACATGTAGATTCGTACATGGCCCTTCACCACGAGGTAAAGGCTTTAGCAGCAGTTACCGAAGGTAAATGAAGAACTCAGCTTCATATTCACATGCTTTTTCAAGCTGTTTTCTTGTCATCTTAAAAAAAAAATACAATGCAGTGATGTGGCTTATAAAGAATATAGTTATTCTGGAAGTATTAGTATGCCCTGACTTTTTGAGTATAGATTCTGAGAAATAAAATGTTTTTGTTAGAAGTTAATCTCTGCTTTAATAAATTTATTGAAGTCAGTCAGAAGTGAAAATGAATAAATACATTATTGCAGTTATTACAACTTTGTTTTGCTCAAATTCTCTCTAGTAGGTGATTAAGACAACACCAAAAATCTCAGTCTCTGTTCATAGAATTTTACATCTGGCAACATGATCAGTAACTAAGTATGCTTTCACAGTATGGCACACCTTTATGTCAAAATTGCTTTCCTAGTTGTCATTATAAAATGAAAAATTATTTACATGAGAAGTTTATTTTTATTTGTAACTCATGAAGAGCTTTGGTCTTATGTGTATTCACAATATGTAGCATTTTGTTTAACTAAAATGTATGTATGTAGTGTGGAATCCAATTAATTCCTTCCACTAACAGATTTGTTTACATCGGGGGAATTGGAACAGGAGCTAATTTTTGCTGCCTCCTATACTTTTCTGTGCACTTTCTAAATTTGTTCATGGGAGCGGGGGTTGGAGGACAAATTTTGAAGTGTGGAAAAATAGTTTATAAAATATCTAGGCTGCAATCCTATAAACAGTTATCTGGAAATAAGTCACATTATATTCAGTGGGGCTTACTTCTGAAATAAATGTGTAGGATTGCACTGCAAATTGCTGCTGAGAAATGCTAAGTATGGCTCATGCTTTTTTCAGATGTGTTTTCATTTTTTTAAAAAAGGAAAGGACTTTGAATTATTGCATGGAATGTGGTGTTAAACATTTCATTTCTGATTTTCATTTGAAATGGAATTAAAACTGTGAACTTCTGTTTTATAAATTATGCCTCTGATTAGATTGGAATATAAGATGTATTAACCAGCAAACAATCATTGTATGGATATTTCATGAATGTACAAGGAGCCACCTTATTTATAGCAAGTTAGATCATTGTCAGATGGACCAATTTAGTCAATCATTATTGAAAAGAAAGTGATAATGATTCTTTCTTTAGTTTCAGAGGAAGCATGATAGTGCTGCAATATAAATAGCGAACCATATTAATGCAGACTTTAGGCCTTGTGTGCCACAAACATAGGATGGCTCAGATAGGGCCTCTATGCATTAAGAGGGGGTACCTTCATGCTTAGATAAATTTTAAGGTTTACAATGATTTTTATGTAGAAACACCTTAGAGAACAACGACTTTCCCCTCAAAAGCAAGGAAAGAGTGCATGGGTTTAAAAACAGAACAAGTAAAAGTTCTTGAAATAAGGCACTTCAGTTAAGTTAAAATAGAATAATAGAAGAGATTTCTATTAAGTCTCTGCTTGTTAAACTAGAATAGTCCCTCAATGGTGGGGAAACAGGAAACACCACAAAAGGAGAGCAAGAAATGAGTGAATGAGAGGAAGGGCACTCCAGCAGATCAGCGTTGGAGTGGATAGGAGCAGAAACAGGTGGAAGAAGCAGATGTTTGGAATAGGAATGTGAGATTAAAAATGGTGAATAGACAAAAAAGAAATGGAAAACAGAAACAAGCAGAAGAGTAGTCTTGAAAGCAGAATCAGAAACAAGCTATTTGGTTGTGGGGATATCGTGAAAAATAAACACACAAGTGAAAGGTGAAAGGATTGGCAGAGGCAGGAAGATATGGCAGAAAATTGGTCATTCTGAGAGGAAAGGAGGAAAAAGGGTGTGAAATGGTAAACAGTGATAGAGGGACTAAGAGCTTGGTAGATGAGGTAAGGAAAGAAGAAGACAGATATGTGATGTTGGATGTATGTGGAAGTATTTAATTCAAGTAACATTTTGTTGTGGGCCCAATTTTTTTACATAAAGTTGTTGTAGTCTTAATCTATCATCTAAATCTTACACAATTTATGGCACAATCTTTTCTAAAAAATCACTGAGATTGCATATTTCCACTGATTCAAGAAACAAGCTTGATTTTATACTTGCTCATGGGAATAGTTGATAAAAATATTCAGTACTAATAACTTTTCTTCTTGCATAATCTATGTTAAATAGATATTGTGGAAACAAGAATCCTCAGTTATATTTTTGGAATGTATGCTATAATGACTAGATTGATGACTGGTCATGGTGAATTGATTTTAAAGGAAAACAATTAAGATCAGTAATTTAAATTATTCAAGATGCGAGGAAGAAAAGATTTAAAATAAACCCCATGTAATGTCCACAGTTCTTCTGAATAAACATAATACTAATTTTTGCTATATAGTAATTAATGTATTTCATGAAGAAGTATGCTTTCTAGATTGGGGAAAGGCAAGACTTTGAAATCAGTGGATTTCTGATTTTTTTCTCCCTGCAAGCTTGTAACTCTGCTGAGCTCTTTAAATAATCATTAAATATTTGGGAGAGGACTTTCAAACTCCTTTAGCCTCCTTCTCCCACTGTGATGTCTGTCCTGATTTTTTTCTCTTGTTTGCAATATAGATTGGGAGCATAATATATTAAATTTTATGTTGTAGTAAAAATTCTGTAGTCCTGTTATTTATGGATATAAAATGAATGTAGAAAGTAGAACAGAGATGGGGATCTTGTAGCCCTCCATTTATTTAGACTCCAATTTTATCTTCTTATGTCCATAAAGTTAAGAGATGATAAAAATTGTAATCCAATAAAATCTAGAAGGCCATAAGTTCCCACTCCTGATATAGGGAATCATGTCTCCCAGTATGTTTGGGAAAATTGATATCCTTCAAATATTAACCAATCCTGTTAATTATGACAGAACAATCCTGTATATTACGTGTTATATTATTAATACGTATTATGTAGACAGACGTGTGTGTGTGTGTATACTGGCAGAAACAAGAACTATAAATATGCCTCCATATATAATAGGTAAAATGCATACACAAGCATATATCTATGCATGCTTTACTATAAGATAATACTCCATTCAAATGGGGAAATTATTCTCTACTTTCATGAACACCAGTCTAAGACCTTTTCCAGCAGGCCCTTAATTGTTTATTAATACTTTTTTTTTTATTAATACTGCTGTTTTCAACATTTATAGCAGCATTTTTATTGTCTCGGCTTTTACTTGTAGTTGGGTTTTTTTTGTCTGTAAACCATTCCAAGGGCACATATCATTTGGGCCAAATATAAATAGAATAAATAAGAAAACTTGCTCTAGAATAAAAATAAAATAAATTTAGTTATCCTCCTTGAAATTATATAATTTGGTGATTATAGGTTCATGTTTGTGTATGAGGAGCATCAAACTGTGTGTAACTAACTTAAATCTTAATTAGAAATGTATATTTAATATTTTGTTTTCATCCGTATCTCAGTTTCCTAAGGATAATTGTAGATGTGCTTTCCTTTCCTTTTATTTATTTTTTTAATATAGTTAGTTGAGAGTCCTATGTGGGGATAACTTTAGGTAATGTTTTTCTTTCATGCTCTTCCTATTGGGAATGGAGACTCAGTTCAGTTGGGAAGAAATAGTCCTTTGAAAACAGGACAGGTAGGAATAGTGAGAAAAAGGCTGGATTTTAGATGCTGTCCATGCTGGGGTATAGAGCAGATCTCTTCATTCAAGGAGGCAGAGATCATACTCTGCACAGTCTGCCAATGTACCTGTTTGGTAGGCTGTGAAAAGTATAGTGAACCTATACAGGTGGTCCTCAACTTACAACCGTTCGTTTAGTGACCATTTGAAATTATGACAGTGGTGAAAGAAGTCATTTATGACTGGTCCTCACACTTATGACTATCGCAGTGTCCCCCACAGTTACGTAATCAAAATTCAGGCACTTGGCAACCGGCATGTATTTACAACAATTGCTGCATCCCAGGGTCACATGATTGATATTTGCGGCTTTCTCAGCTGGCTTCCGACAAGCAAAATCAATGGGGAACTGCATGATTCACTTAACAACCACGTGATTCACTTAAAACCCTCTAATTCACATAATATTGTAAATCAGGTGCGGTCAGATGATGCTTCGCTTAACGTCTGCACTACTTAATGACGGATTTCCTTATTGTGGTTGTAAGTTGAGGACTACCTGTAGAGGGCAATTAAGACCATTTTCCTTTTCTGCCTCCTTCCTCAATGATCTTGACCAAAATGGTTGTGTTCTTCTGGCTGTTATGGAGAAACAGTCATTCTGATAAAGAACATGGTGATGGGGGAATTGTCTTGACTAGCTCTGTGCAAAAATTTGAAATGTTTTAACTTAAATGACCTGTCCCAACTATTTTGAGAAGTGTTCTGTGTTCAGAATAGTCTACTACTCCTAGTTCAATCCTGTATGTTTTGAGTTCTTTTCAGTCCTTATCAACATTATCTCACCTGCCCCCTGCCCCCATTAACAGCTATTTCCCACAGATAAAATGATTGCTGATTAGCTTACTGTTGAGAGAGTTAAATGGGCAAATTCATGGGAATCCATTTTAGTATTGCTAAGTACATTAATCTCATATATCATCATTTAAATTAAAAGGAAAATCCAGCACCATTATTTAATTTCCTAAAGGTGTAACTTCTTTAACCATCTGGAGATAATGAATGTTTACATATATTTTAAAACTTCTAACCATCTTGGATTTTCTGCTTCATTTAAATGTTTTTAGTATTTATGTAATGGGTTGCTTTATAGTCGGATTTTAATTGATTAATTAATTTTAGTTATTTATATGGTATTGTTTTTTTAATGGTTTGGGTTTTTGGTTTTAATTGTGAGCCACCCAGAGTCACCCGTTGGAGGAGATGGGCGGCATACAAATTTAATAAATAAATAAATAAATTTAAATCCTTATCCTCTTCCAATTTAATATTTGTCTTACCTCCTTGGGGTTTTAAGTTGAGCTAAATCAGAATATCATAATAAGGTTTACAGTTCATATTTTAAGTATTCAAAAAAATTCATGTACAGTATGTTATCCTAATAATTCATGCTATAATGTAAAATAGATCCCTTTGAAGAGTAAGATGGAGATATTGTCTTTCCTGCAACAACTGGGGAATTCGTAAATTACACATTGGCTTCCATTGACTTAAACCTTTCATAATATACAACTGGAACTAACTGTATTTTTTGTTGTTGTTGATGAAAAAAAGATTCTGGTACATTTTTAAGGAGGAGCAAATACTTTGAACATCACACAGGAACAAAATAAGGATTGTAGCAAACCAGAGTGTGCCACTGAGTGACATAGAAGAGTGAACATTCATTGAAAGTATTTCTAATTTGTTTAATCATTTAAACAAATGAAGTCTTTAGATTGTCAAGATATGCTTTCAAGAAAAATAGATTTGGTGTATGCTGCATTCTCTTTTCACCTGTGGAAAACACCCATCTTTTTGAATGTTAATTTTTATTACAGTTTAGTTAACCTCAGTTGTTCAAGCATTATAGGAAAAAGCATGTGAGCTGCAGACACTTTGTGATTGTGGGATATACATCAAGTTTTATCCATTTGTCTTTGTTGCATAGCTGTTAGTTGCATAACACATACATGTGCTATGTGTTTCAAACTGGGTATATACTGAGTTTTCAGTAGTTAGCTTAGAATGAAGTGAGCCTCAGGTTTGAACTTGACAGTCTTCTTCAGATTTGAAGATACAGAAAAAGAAAAAAAGAAATTAATTGTTTCAGCTTATTTAGGTGATCAGTTATTCCAAGCATACCCCAAACTTTTTTTTTTTTAGTGCAACTGATTATTTGTTAATGTTAGGTACTTGAGCCTAATAGTACTTCTCTGTATTAGTTATAGTACTCTATAATTTCAAATTTATGAAAAACAATTCTTGCTAAAATAAGTAACAAATCTGTAACCAGCCTGTTTCTAATCTGTGTCTTAATATATATGCCTCCTTAGGGAGCTTGTGTATTATTTCTTAATACCATATTATTGTGTGTAATTGAAAGCAGCTCATTTGTCAGAAATAAATGCCAGCATCTAATGTGCTGTAAGAAAAGAGTTCCTAGTAGCTAGTTTTCCCAGACTTTGGCAGCCCCTAAATCTTCTTGTAATTGTACTGCTTTCCTAGATGGAGTAGACTATTGTGCAAAAAGTTGATATAGCAGTGGGGAATTCAAAAATTAAGGAGAAGCTATATGTGATCAAGGTTCTCTCCAACCAATTGTTATATGTGGCCTAGTGATTGAATATATTGTAGACAGGAAAAAAAAGTTATTAGAATGAGAATAATACTTGATACCTATGTTATATTGCAATAACAGTGGCATTAGGAATATTGACTCCACTGTTGCTTTGCCTCTCACCATCCTTCGCTATGTTGTTGCTGTCTTAACTAACTGCTGTGTCTTGCTTCTCCCAGGCAGCTCCAGATAAACAGTGAGTTACAACAGTCCTATCTGGCCTGCTTCTTCACATCTATAGTTTGTCGAACAAATAAAAATTCAAAGCGGAGAATTTTTAAGATGCAAGAGCTGACAGTTTGACTAGACAGAGCCATTTTTAACAGGCTAAAATAAAATGAAAACCATGTTTAAATAAATTGCAACTTAGCACAAAGTGTTAATTCAGTCACATATATGACTGGGAAGATAGTCATGATTCAGTCTAATCTTTTGAATAGTTATTCCAGTCTTGGACATTGTTATTTCATGTTTTGATTACTGCAGTTTGTCTACAGAGGACTTGAAGTTTATTAGTTTCCATTAATAGTGACCATATCACTGCAACATTTAAAAATATGGCATCAATTACTAAGAGTTTTCTGGGCTTAATTCAGGATGTTAGTCTCAACATTTAAAACTTAAAGCAATTTAAGTATTTTAGCTTGTCCCATTTTGACTCTATCCAGGTGTTAAAATTTATTAACAGACTGTTTTGAGATCATTCCCACTCACAGACGGCCTGCTTTTGGGGCATATGACAACACTTTTTAATGTGCCATTTTCAGCAGTGGGGAACTCTCCTTCAGAACTAAGATCAGTTCTCATTCTTTAAGCTTTTCAGGAATTGATTGCTATTGGAGATAGTTGATTGACATTAACTGGGCTTATTAGTTTGATTAGTTTAAATCCTATTGATTCAGTTAGTTTAGTTTATGATTAGGTCCAGTTCTAATCTTAGTAAAGTCTGTCATGTTCCAAGTTAATAATATCCCTGTTAATGCATTTTGTGTTGTGCTTTGGCATGAAGGGAAAATTCTGAATATTGGAAGATTTTCTGATTGGAAAAAATTAATGAAAATGATTCACGTAAAAGGATTAAAGGATTGCAATACCAGTTCACATTAAGGTTTAATAACTCTTGCATATTTGTTCGATCCACAGTTTTATCTGATATTGTTAAATAGCTATTGTGGAAGGAATATAATAGAATGTCTATTTATATAACGTTTTCTTTTTCTTGGGGGAATGAATTGAAGCCTTTGAGAATATGCCAGATGACTTTTGCAGAGTTTGTTTACACTTTCTGAACCATTGTTTAACAACAGTTTAGCTTGCTTAAAATGATTAGACAAATTTCCTCCACCTTGGGCAAGATCAGCTGTGATTTATATGTATTAACATGACAGGAACTGTGGTAAATAAACAACAAATAGAAAGATTGGGAAATGAAATTGAACTATAAAACTGCAGGGCTTAAAGCTATAAATAAGCTGTCTTTCTTAAATAATACATTCTATAGAAGCAGCTGTATTTTCTGTCTTCATTGTACAGGTCACCAGAAAGGCCTACAGGGGACCTTCGGGAAAGAATGAAGAATAAGCGTCAAGACATTGAAAGTGAACCACAGAAACATAATACAGAAGAACAGTCTTCTCCTGTTAGGGTAGGATGCATATATCTCCAGGATTACTACAATTGTATTAGAAATGGAGAGATGTGTCCTGGGAAATATAACTGGGCACAGTAGGTTGGATCCATGTTTGTGTCTCTATGAGCTTCTTGGATTTATGGAGGGAATCAAGAGGGTCTCTGCTGATCTAATGGTATGATTTTCACCAGTTCCCCATAGTTTCTGCATCCCTTGGTATCACTTTTCACAAAAACTGTCCAGAGTGCTTTCTCAGGAAGCACTGGGTCTGGCAATTCTGACACCCCTCCCATTGCCATCGTTAAGCAAATCACTGTAGTTATTAAGCAACGATATTACATGGTCACCATTTGCAACCTCCTGCCAGCTTCTCCTTTGACCTTGCTTGTCAGAAGCCAGCAAAGAAGGTCGCAAATGGCGACCGTGTGACTGTGGGACACTGCAATGTCATAATAATGAGCCAGGCATTGAGCCCTCAGATTGCAATCATGTGATCTGTGATGGCTGGAACTCTGAGGACCACTCATAAGTACCACTCATTCAGCACTGCCACAAGTTTGAACAGTCACTGAAAGAGTGGTTGTTAAATGAGGACTGCCTGTATAAGTTTGTGAGAATGTTGTTATGAGCTGTTATGCAAAGAAAAGAATTTCATTGTTATTGAAACTTATTGAGTGACTGAATAGTTTTAATCCTGTTCTTACTTTCTCAGTATAAATTGTGGATTGGATTTACCCATGTGGGGCTCATACTTATGGTTATACTTCAGTTCCCAAGCCTTTTCAGTGTGTTAGAGTTTTGCTCAAGTGAAGTGTCTTTGAGTTTATTTTTTCATATATGTGTGCACATACACAGCCGTTTTCTTCCCTCTTTTTGTGGAAGAAAAATTGTTGTTCCCTCTTCTACCAAGGGGCCTGTAAGGAGAGTGAGAATTCCTTTTGGCTTCTGTTGGCTCAACTGTGAAAGTTTCTTTGTATAAATATAGCCATAACACCTTTTACAGATAGATCTGTAACAATTGTTTGTAGTTTGGTTTCAAACCTCTTAAGCTAGTCGCATTAAAATACAGGTGCATGTGGCAAAACCTGAGGATCCTGGGGGAGAAGATTTGTTAAAACTTGGCAACTTTATTTGATGAAGCAATACATTTGTTTTTGACAAGAAAAACAATAATTAAGATGTCACTTTCCTCCAATTTCAAAATATGTATGTTTGTTACTATTGTAAAGCTATAACTAAATTCGTTGAACAAATAAATTCAGATGCCAATGGAATGCTGTATTTCTCTCTTTTATGGTGTAAACTATAGCAGCTGGCGTATCTCTGTAAACCTAACTGGCATAGTAGTGCCTTTAAGAATCCTGAGGCCTGGTCTGATAGCTTTACTTCTTGTTATTCTTGTTAACAGATCAGTGGGATTAAAGCTTTGATTAGAATGTCTCACTATGGGGTTTTCAAATTTATTTTACCTTGTCACGGTCTCCAAGGAATTACCTTTGTAATCAGTTCTTAGATGTGCAAATTCTCCAATTTCATTCTCCAGATTTAGACCTCTGTTTGGCTGGAATGTCACTGCTAGTTCGATTTCTTAAAAAAAAACCGGGAGCATAAAAAAATAAATTGTTCCACACTTTCCACAAATGTTGATGGGTATCACATTTTTATGGCTGAAGTGATTTTGGGACATTGAGGTCTATCAGGCCATTTTTTTTTTAGTCATGTCTCACATTTACAGGTAGTCCTTGGGTTACAGTGGCAATTAGGACCAAAATTGCCGTCATTAAGTGATGTCATAAAGCACAACATCGTGTGATCGTGTCACTTAGTGATGACAATTCCAGCAGTCCTGGTTGCTATCGTTAAGCGAGGACCTCGTAACTGTGACTTCTGACTTCCTGCTGGCTCTCCCATTGACTTTGCTTGTGGGAAACTGGCAGGAAATGTCGGAAATCACAATCATGTGACCACAAGGATGGTGCAACGCCATAATAATAAGCTGGGCGCTGAGCACATGGATTGCAATCACGTGACTATGGGGATGCTGTGATGGACAGAACTCTAAGGACCTGTTGTAAGTCCCCCTCGTTCAGCACTGTTGCAAGTTTGAATGGCCGCTGAACAGGTGGTCGTAACCTGAGGACCACCTGTAACACTGTGTATTAGTTCAGATAGCAGCCCATATCTTTAAAGCAGCTAGGAGGTTGGAATAAGTACCAATGTTAGATTTGATTATTTGTTAGAAAGTTCTAAATTGAATCGTGTGGAAATATTCTTATTTTGGATAGGATAACTGGCTGATTCAGCTGGAGAACTTTTCATTAAGGATCTGTATTTGAGGAAATACACTTTGTATTATATTATTTAAATATATGTTTAACTTGTTAATTTAATGATTTTGGAACCATAATGATGATGATGGTGATGATAATGTGCTATTCTTCTTACAGAGTAGCTGAAAATTTATTCATTTAACACTTCGTTAATCATGTGTTCATGATTGACAGATTGAATAATAGGATTTTTGTGTGAAATTGAACAATAGGATTTTTTGAGTTCCTTTCAGATGTAACAGAGTAGTAGTTTCCATAATGTGTGCAATGAGAGAATTGCCTGCACGCTGTGATAAATTAACTAAAATATCTTATTTAATTATAATTTATCACCTTCTTGAACACCTATCTCTTAGTTCATTTTCAGAAGCTCCCTATGTTAGCTATGTTGGGGATGATATCAAACTTCCATTTTTACAATAGGAGTTTCTCTTATGTTCTTCTCAATACTTCCATTGTCTACTTTTGCTCCAGTAAATCCTCCCATAAAGACCAGGTTTAATAGAGGAGGAAGCTGAAGGAGGAAGAAGAATCCAGTCTGTCAGGAGTGCCCATTCTATTGGCAGATGAATGCAATTTGAGGCAACTTTCTTCTTTTTAATTTCCTTTCCTTCTTTTATGAGGTTTATGGACATTTCATAGTGTTGGAAGGTTGATCAGCTAGCAAAGTAAAGGCAACATTTGTCAGTTGGCTTTTATCTTCTGGTTTTCTAATTGCCTTCAGAGTCTATTTATTGAAAAGTGGATAGAAATATTTGAATGAATCACTTGCCTGTCAGATGTGAGATCTTCATATGGTTGCAGTCACCTTATATAAGTTATGCTATGTTCTGTACCATGGAAGGAGGTGCTGTTTTACTTGTATAAACTGTAGATGGCGTCTCAATCCATTCTACAGACTTAAAAGATTGCACAGTTGGATACTTCTGTCAATTTAACTTCTCAGATCCTTTGAAAGACTTTTTCTCCTTCGCTGAGCTACTCCTTATGTTGATGAAGACTTAATGGGTAGGAACGAAGAGTTCCCTCTAGCTCACTCAGTACAAGGCTGTTTAATTGATTTAGTTGTCTATCTGCTCCCTCATCTCATGGTTTATTTTACTTCTGCCCCTCTGCATAGAGGCCAGTGTTTTATTAGCTGTATGTTTGTGTACACAAATCTAACTAGCCCTCTTGAATGTCTTTCTTAGAAACTGAAACCTATCTTTTTATCTTCCACAAGAAGGCCTTATTACTTCTAACTTTGCTGGTTCAGTAACTTGCATTTATTGGACTAGCAGTCAGAGCACTGGTTACTGATATCCCCCAAACACACCCAAGTTTTATTACATGAGGTTGTAAAAGATAGTAGTAGAATTACTGTACTTCCATTTTAGGAGGTAATTCTAGAATGATAATAAGTATAGATAAAGGGTCCTTTTAGGTCTTATCGGCCAAATGTCCTTACTCTCGTTTCCTCAGAGAATACAGTTGCAAAATTTAGGTACCCTAGGCCAAATTATGTTTCAGTGGATCCCTAAGTAAGCAGGAACTGGAATAGTCTCTACATGGTATAAAGTTAAGCACTGCATCTTTCTGCAAATTTTAATGTATAATCTATGCGCAGTTGTTAGAGATTCAAAGTAAAAAAACAGGGAATTTGGCAATTGTTGAAGTTTGGACTGCCTTTCAATCCGTACTTCCCAGCATTTCTTTGGGACAAATAAATTTCCAGATGGTTCCCACGGCTAACTAAGAGTGTTTTTATTCTTTCTTTTGGGGTTTTTTTTCCTTCCTTGCAGAATTCTTTCTAGCTCAAAAATATTCTTAAGTCTACTTGCATACATTGCATATGTAAGATTTCAGAAATTTATTTATTTATTTATTAAATTTGCCCCCCGCCCATCTCCCCCCAGTGGGGGACTCTGGGTGGCTCACAACACATTAAAACAATAAATAAATATACAATTTAAACCCATAACAATTCACATTCACAAAAATAAAAGGGAAAAAATATTCTTAGGTCTGCATTGTATATTTGAGAACTCCCACAAATTTTTGATAATATTCGACTATGGGGACTGTGAAGTCCATTCCAAAACCTTTATTTTTCCTGTAAGTACTTCTTGGTGGATTGGGAGGCATGTTTTGACTTACTGTCTTCCTGAAATAGCTTCCGTTTCTTCACCAACTGTGATGCATTAGCTTCTAGGTTATATTGGCACAAAGTTGAATCCATTCTTCCTTCTACCTTGACAACATATTGTGGCACTGGCTCCTGCACAAGCCCAAAGCACAATAGAGCCACCACTGTGCATAATAACTGGCCAAGTGTTCTTTTCTTCAAATGCTTCACCCTTTTTTCTCCAAATATATCTTTTGTAGTTGTGGCCAAATAGTTCAATTTTTGTTTTTTTCAGTCCAAAGCATTTCATTCCAAAAACATTTTAGATTTATCGAGGCTTACTTTTATATGCTTTAGATGATGTCTTTTGTGATGAGGTCAGAGAGAAGACTTTCTCCTGATAATTTTCTCATGCTCATCATTGTTGTATAAACAGTGTTGTACTATGGACCTGTGGACAAGCACTCCAGTGTTAAAAAAACCCTTTTCATCATGTCAGTTGCAGTGATCTGTGAGTTCTGTTTTCTAGCAGAATTTTTTCAGATCTTGCCTTCGTCTCAACAGTTTCATTAACTTCCATTTCTTAACTGTGTTTTTAGTAGTTGAACTTACTAGCTGAAAATGTTCAGATATTGTTATATTGTCTTTCCTCTATTTGATAAGAGTGAATTGTCTTTGTTTTCAAATGCTCAGACAACTGCTTAGAGATATTCATGTTTGCTGAAAGTAGACAGAACAATCACAACCTGAAAGGTTAGAAGATTCAGTATTTGTTCACCTGTGGAATTGTGTTCACCAGGCTAATTGTAGGTCTAAAGAATCAGTCGCCTTTTGGAGCCTTACTAACATCTTTACATTTTTTTAAAAAAAAGTATTACTGTATCAACTGGAAGGGTGTCCAAACTTCTGCACCTGCCATACTCACTTTTTAAAAAATTGAATTTGTAAATAACTGCATTTATACGATAAGTATACATTCAGATTTGCTGAAATATGTTGTGTTTAACTTTGTACCACGTAGAGGTGTCAGCTTCTTTTCACTTAGGGGTTTAGTGGATGATACCATTTGATCAAGGGTTACATTTCATGCAATTGTAAAAATGAGGGGAATTTTGTTAGAACCATCAACAGAAGCTAAGAAATTAGGAAAGAGCATCGGGTAGGTTTTTAAATATATATATATATATAGAGAGAGAGAGAGA